CGTGGAAATCCCTCCCGAGCGGAGAGCACCTGCCCTGTGCCCCCTGCTCCGCCAGCCTTTGTTCTTTGGCTTTGTTCGGCTTCACCCTTCCTCCGGTAGCTCTCACCGCTCTGGCCACAGACTTCCTTTCGGTCAGCCCAGCCGCGGGGGCAGCGCTCGCCGCCGAGCCGAGCCGAGCGGAGAGACAGCAGCGAACCTGAGGGCTCGCTCAGGTAAGAGGCGCTCGGCAAACTGCCCTTCCTCACGGCGGGAAAGGTGGAACAGCTCCCTGCGAGCTGACTCTGCCCTTGATGCCAGCCCTGAGCGCGCGCGACTGTGCAGCAAGGAACGGCAGAATTTGGAGACTGAGAGGGGGAAAGAAAAGTAAAAGGTATAAAGCCGGCAGGGATTTCTTCTTAAACCCACATCTGTATTGAAGGATTTGTTGCGTTTTGCCAGAATTCCAGGCGATTGAAATGCTGCTGCCAGTGAGATGTTTCTCGCTGAGGGCGGCACAAGCATCCGTGTCACCGTGGGGAGAGGCCGTGGGCTCTCAGTGAGCCCCAGCACTGTGTGCCCCAGCTCAGCCTGAACTCACAGGAGGGTCCTTGGTGCCGGGAGGCTAAACCCACTACCCGCTCAGGCGGTTAATGACTTTCCTCAATAAAAATACACTGTTGAACTTTTCTGAGTCCCCTTTCCAGCCTGACTGCTGCTGAGGTTTGTCTGCTTTCAAATAAAACCTGTTGTAGTGTCACATAGCTGCTCCCTCACCTCCAGAGGAGTCCTGGCCCCCCTGTGATAGCAAATATTAAACCCTTTTCCTGTTCTAAGTGGGTGTGTTTTGTCTCTCCTGGCTCAATAGAACTTTGCTGGTTGTTGTTTTTGGAGTTGTTGGGGTGGGTTTTACTATTACTGTTATTTGCCTTGTTAGTATTAGTATTAGTACTGGTAGTTTTGTTTTCCTGTGGTTCCTCTAGGAGCATGGAGACCTCAGCTTGGACAAGAGCACTATTGTGCTTAGGTCTTAGCTCTTACCAGCATCACTGGGGGTCCACATGGGTTAGCTGAAGGGGAAACACAAGCAGCATGACTAAATCTGAAGTAATTTTCCCCGTTCTAACCCAAATCTGAAATAGCTGCCCACTTCATCTACCACTCCGACCCCTCTCATCTGAGGATTGTGTAGCTGCAAACTCTGCATCGCAGTTGTGCTTGGATGTTTATATTCCACATTTCCCGCCACTTGTCCCCTGATCCGTGGTATCCTCCCTCCCTAGCCCCTACACCTTGGTGACAAGCTCCTCAGGGACTCATCTTCTCAGCCATAGCCTTCTCAGCATCCCAGACCTCCAGGGATGAGATTTCACTGGCAGCATGTGTCCTTGCTGGCCTCCTGCCCCATTACTGGAGATTTTGGCAGCCTCACCTTCAGCCATCAGTATCATTAGTAAAATCTTGCCCAGCCACATATGCTGTTGTTGATAGTCATCTCCAGCACCACTGTCTTCCCCCCCTCAGCCTTTCTGGCTCCTTTCCCTTCTGTACTTCTCTATCCTGATAGGGAATGTTGCTCGCATCTGTTTGCCCTGATTTATTTCTTTTTCTAATGGAAATATATAGGACCCAGACCCTCCTGCCAATTAAACCCTCTTGAGGAGGACAATGTCACTTTAGATTTCTGTGTCTTAGTTCTCCAGCTGCCCACTGAGGACACCACTGACTCTCCTCCCCTGTGCATAGAGATATGCCAGTCCAAAGCAGGGCACCTCAGTTCTGCAATTGATGCCAAGTTTGGGTTTTCTTCTAAGTTCAGGGGATTTCACGTGCTGCACAGTCACTCACCAAAAATTATAATCACTGCAAAATGCATTACTTAATTTAAGTTACTTACTTACTTATCTTGTTGGTCAAAGGACAGAGGGGGTTAGGACTAGATGACCTCTAAGGTCCGTTCCAGCCCCTAAAATTATATGATTCTATTCTGAAAGTAAATCATTAGTGCAACAATAGTAGAGCCAAAACCACAGTGTCATTGCAGCAGTGAATGCATCACAGGTCCCCCAAAACTTGGGGAAAGCATCCTGTTCCTGCCCTCTCTGCTGGTGTCCAGCTGGGCCTGTGGCTTCACAGGTCTCAGGTTTAGTGTTCCACGGAGCAGCCAAGGTGTCACCCATTGTGTTGACATAGTGACCACAGGAGGTGGAGAAGAAATAATAACCTAATAATTTTCCCTTTATTTTTTCAGTCTGGAAATTTTGAGTCTCCAGGAATACCAGGAAAGCCTTTCCAGGAATGCGAGGGAAGCCTCTCCAGGAGATCAGAGAAGGCAGGCGATGGAGTTACAAACATCGTATCTACAAGCTGAGGCAGAAGGAGGCTGAGGAATGAGGAAGACCACACACTCCTTGTTGGCCCAGAGCTGGTGTACAGCAGCAGCAACTCTTTTCCTACAGGGAATAAAATACATCCATTCAAGTACACTTTGATGTGTGTGTTCTGAAGGGTTTTGTATCCCCACAGATAGTCTATCCCCATAACGCTGTGGCTTTTTTATACCCACTGGCTGCCTGGCAGCCCCACCACGCACCACAGGGTGCAGGGCACCACTGCCATGAAGGACATGGTGAAGTGCAGGGTGCTAAAGGCCCACCCATGTCAGGAGTGTGGGAAATCCTTCAGCAAGAAGGGAAATCTGAAAAGACACCAACGGATCCACACGGCAGAGGAGCTCTTCACTTGTGGGGAGTGTGGGAGGCACTTCACCACCCGGGGCCACCTCACAACCCACCAGAGCATCCACACAGGAGAGAGACCCTTCTGCTGTGGAGAGTGTGGGCGGTGCTTCCGCCTGGAGATGTGCCTGGCTGCCCACCAGAAGACACACACCAAGGGTGGTCCCTTCCTCTGCGCCTGCTGCGGCAAGAGCCTGAGCACCAAGATCTACTTCAATATCCATATGCGGACCCACAGGGAGAAGAGGCCGTTTGCCTGCACGGAGTGTGGGAAGAGCTTTGTGAAAAAAGGCACCCTCACCACCCACAGGGAGATCCACAAGCGGGAGAAGCCCTTCAAGTGTCCTGACTGCAGCAGGTGCTTTGGGCAAAGTGCCACCCTGATGGCCCACCAGAAGATACACCTCCGGGGAGGACCTTTCATCTGTACGGAGTGTGGGAAGAGCTTGAGCACCAAGAGGTACTTCAATGTCCACCAGAGGAACCATGCTAAGCAAAAGGGGCACATCAATGGTGTGTCTCTCCAGATCATCCAGATTAAAGAGGAGCCTGATTTTGCCTTCAGGTCAGAGGAGAGTATATTGGAGAACATGTCCTGTGAAGGAGATGTAGCCCAGGGGTGTAGCATACCCAGAAGTCCATCTAACCCTCAAAACCCTGCTTGGAAAATCCAAATGAAGGAGGAACCAGAACCACCCACTGATGGCACAGCAAACATTACTGCAATACCCTGCCAGAAGCTTTACATCAAAGAAGAGCCACCAGAAAACCCAGACTATGGAAAGCTCTTTGATCCAAAGATCCCACTGCTTGCATTACAGGGGAGACAGCCTAAAAAGGAAGAAGATGCTGATGAGCAGCGTGAAGTCCCAATAGCCAGTAACCATGTGCTCCATGTGAAGGAAGAACCAGAGGAAAGCATTGAGTTTGGGATGCATTATGGACAAAAGCCAAACCTCACTGCTATCCAGAAGATCCAGATTAAAGAGGAACCTGGTGTGGAGGCCAACCACCAGGAGAGCCAGGGTACAAAGACGAAGCAGAAGACATACTGCCAGTCGACCAAAGAGGGGATGCTGGAGAAACAGGAGAACTCCATGTCCAAGAAAGATCTCTCAGCAAAAGGAGTTCCCAAGGGTGAACGGATATTCCCCTGTCCAGAGTGTGGGAAGTGTTTCAATCAGAAGTCAAACCTGACGAGACACAGGAAGATCCACACGAGTGAGGGACCATACAAGTGCAGCGAGTGTGGGGAGAGCTTCCGCATGAACCGCAAGCTGGTCCGGCACCAGCGCATCCACGTGAGTGAGCCCTTCAAATGCTCCGAGTGTGGGAAGAGCTTCACCCAGCGCTCAAACCTGGTCCGGCACCAGAGGATTCACACCAAGGAGGAGCCCTACCAGTGCCCAGAGTGTGAGAAGACCTTCAACCAGAAGGCCAACCTGTTCCGTCACCAAACAATCCACGTCCGCATGGGGCCTTGCAAGTGCACCAAGTGTGGGAAGTGCTTCCCCCACAAGCGCCACCTGATCAAACACCAGCTGCTCCACTCCCGGGGGGGAGCCTACAAGTGTGGGGTCTGTGGGAAGCGCTACAGGCTGAAAAAGTACCTGAGGAGGCACCAGAAAATCCACATGCGGGAAGGAACTGCTCCCTGCTCAAAACCGGGGTACACCACACAGACTGCACCCCACCACACTGAACAGAGGACACTGGTTGCCCTGAAGAGTGAAGAAGAGAGCTGAGCAGTGTGGTGCCTGTTCCTGCAAGAAAGTCCTTTGGGAAAGGGGAGGGATGGAGACAAACTCTGCTTGCCTTTTGTGTGCATATCTGGGGGTCAGCAGGTCAACCTGAGTGGACAGTGAGGCTGAGGGGGCAGAGAACAGCTGGAAACCAGTCCCCTGCCACTTTTCTGAGGACAAACCTCGGGGTATGACTTGCAGCTGTGGGATGGGGCTGGAGAGCCAAGCACTTGGAGATGGAGGGATAAGAGCTTGGCATCCTTTGTAATAGTATGCATGTGGCACTAAAGGCTGCCAAACTTGTAGATGCCAAAATTATCTTGTGTGTCCAATATGTAGCCAGGAGGAACAGTCAGGATTTATTTTTGTTACATTACTGTGTTTCTGAGAAAGCTGAAGGGAACCTGTTCCATCTAGGCAAGGGTTTAAAGCAAAGGCTCCCTCTCCTCTCCCATCTATCTCTGGTCCACACCTTGATCCTACTGGCCTGATAGACTCTTGTCCACTGGGTGATACAGATTTGGGAGACAGTACTGCCTTGAATCCCCCAAACCAGGTTCCCAGATTGGCTTAAGCAAGGTCCCTAAAAGTGGGTTATACAAAACCAATGAGTTTTCCCAAAGCCAGTCCAGAGACCAGCAGTTTGTGTTCTGTTTGCGTCCCCACAACCCCAATGTGTGGACATAAATGAAGTGGCTTTTCTTAGCATTGAGTTTTACATCCCTGATGTGGCTTTGCCACCACCAGTCCAGAGGCATCAGTGACTTCCAGCCTGGGCAACTTGAGCTGGGTCTCAGCACCTGCTTCCCCACCTGTTACTGTGAAGCTCTTCGTAAGATATTGACATTATTTGGCATCGTCCCCACAACCCCAATGTGTGGACATAAATGAAGTGGCTTTTCTTAGCATTGAGTTTTACATCCCTGATGTGGCTTTGCCACCACCAGTCCAGAGGCATCAGTGACTTCCAGCCTGGGCAACTTGAGCTGGGTCTCAGCACCTGCTTCCCCACCTGTTACTGTGAAGCTCTTCGTAAGATATTGACATTATTTGGCATAGGACATTCA